AGGAGTTCCTGGATTATTTCCTCCTCCTAGGAGCCCTTAAACTGCCCACAGCACACTCTGGCTTCACATCTTCCTTCTCACATATAGCTACCATCACATTTTCCCACTCTCCCAGGTCTCTTTCAAACATCCAGCAGCTGCTGCTGTGAAAAAGGCTCTAGAAGAAAAAGGCAGTGCTGCTCTGCACCTTCCCCTGGCACATGTAAGCCACATCAAACTCCCCAGTGCACTCTGAATTTCCCCTGTCAGCTACATGGACCATAATCTGAATCTCAGAGTCTAAAGCTGAACAGAATTGTTTCTGTGTAGGGCTTGTGCAGGAAAATGTGCCAGCACACATTTCACTGACTTCCCTGTTGCCATTGATAAGCGGGGTTCAGAAGGCAGCTGAGAGACAATCACGCTCCTCATGCAGCCCTGCACCCTCAGAACTCTGCAGGTTCATTCTCAGGCACCACACCCTTCCCTCTCCCAGATCCAAAATGTTTATTCCTTGCCCAGATCTCTGTGCCACCCCTGAAGCGCCCCAGGGCGCTGCTTCAGTCAAAACACACCAGTGCCAGCACTTTCCTTCTCAGCTCCAAGAACCATCACATTCTGTCACTCCTGCAGGCTAAAAAAGTTCCCTCTTGTAGTCTAAAAATTCTGCTTCTCACACAGATAACTGTGCCAGGACAGGACCTTGCTCCTTACACGTGGAAACTTTCACTATAAAACTGTATTTGCACCACAATCAAGCAGCAATCTTCTTTCCTTTACAACCTGTAAATTACTTTCCCAAAACCTCTAAATTATCTTCCCACTGCGCTTTCCTCAGCTTATGAGCATCATCACACACCTCACAGCCCTTCAGTGACCAAAGGTCCTGGTACACCTTCACACAGAAAATGTGCCAGGACCACCAGGTGTGTGCAGACTTCAGGAGGCAGTGAATGCAATCTGAGTGCAATTGTAAACTCAGAGAAGGCTTTCTGTGCTGGCACATTTTCCTCTGTGACTCTCACTGGAAATTTTGGTTTATCTTCAGATGGTGTGAGATTGGATGTGAAGCAATTGCTGAGGAGGAAACTACAGAGCAGCAGTGTGTTTGGTGTGGTTTATGAGCTGCAAGGGAAATGTGCAGGCCAGCCCTGGGGTTTTGTTCTTAGTCCATTCTTATGGCAGCAGCTCCTGGATGCTTGAGCTCTGCAGCTGGGCTCAGTGAGGGTGGGAAATGTGAGAGTAGGGAGTACATGGGCACTTCGGTCTCTACAAAATTGGGAGTTTGTGATCTGAGCAGGAAACTGCAGAGCACCTTGGTGTGATGTGCTGCACTCAGATACTGCAGCAGGCATCTCGTCCCCACAAGAGCTGAGCTGCTGTTTGCTGAGCAAGCAGCACAAGCTGAGCTGCAGTGAGTTATTCTGGAGCCAGGGCATCAACATCTCCCAGCTGCCAATGAGCACCTCTCTGTTAAAGTGAGATCCGGCAAGATAAGCTGGATTTATCACTGACAGACACTTTAAAAGCCACAACAAACTTCCACAAAGCAGAAATCTTCTGTGCATTTTCCTGGAAATGTGTGGAGTTTCTCCTGTGAGTGGGAGAAACGCAGTTTCTCAGTTTCAGGGTTCTCCTTGGGGGTTAAGTGAAGGAATCTGTGTTGCTCTATTGGGAACGGTGAGAAGAACGACACAGACTCTCTCGTGGAGTCAAACAGGAGAATTTCTCTCGGTTTATCACCTCAGATCTTTTTTATAGACTGATACACAAAAGTACAGAAAAGAAAACTCTTATTGGTCAGTGAACTGACACATCACCATCACTGGTCAGTGGGGTTCACCACCCCTCCACCTTCTCTTGCAAGAAAACAAGAAACTCACAAACAGCACCTGCAAGGCTTCTGCTATCTCTGAGGATTGTTTTAATTCCTCCTTATGAATTCCCAGGCCGCTTTCCCAGGTGAGACTGAGAGAGTTATGTGGAATTATTCCCCAGGCACTGTGCTCCCTGCTTCAGAGTTAGCATCCATAAATCTGTGCACATTGTCGTTGTTTTGGTGGCAAATCAATCCTATTCCTATTGCCAGCTTTAACACAGGTGCCTTGCTCCAGTGCACAGTGGTTGTGCTGTAGCCTGTTTGTGGCTCTTCAGTTTTATCCTGTGCAGTAATTCCTATTGAGATCTTTCATCTGTTACCTTTGGCCGTTTAATAAATTATTCATTTTTATAAATCTGATTTGCCATCATTAGAACTTGTGGCTCAACTTAAATGTTGCCAAAATTCGAGGCTAAGGCAGGGCTTGTCTGAAGCTTTCACTTTTCCTGTGACAACAGCACCAAGCTGTGGCTGGGGGGCTCCTAAAGGCCCCGAACCCCAAGGTGGGGAGGGGGGAAGTCACCTGCGTGAGTCCCCCAGACTGGAGCAGCTGAAGTCGGCGATGCCCGCGGATCCCTGGCAGCTCAGGATGTTCTGTGGGTCCAAGTGACTCAGCAGTGCCCGGGCATTCCCTGCGTGCCTGGGGGGCAATGCTGCCTCTGTCACCTGCCTTCATTATTTCTGCTTCTAGGAGAGCAGAGCCGGACCGTCCGTCCGTCCGTCCGTCCTGGGAGATGCAGAGGGGGGTGTCCCTCTGTCCATCCCAGGGGAGGCAGAGGGGATGTCTGTCCGTCCGTCTGTCTGTCCCAGGGGTTGCAAAGGGCATGTCCTTCTGTCCGTCCGCCCGTGCCTCCATCTGCTGGGGCCGTGCGCCCGGAGGGCAGGGGGCGGACACCTATCTGTCGATCTGTCCATGGTGCTGTCTGTCTGTCCGTCTGTCCGTCTGTCTATCGGCCTGTCTATCGGTCTGTCTGTCGGTTTGTCCTGCCGTCCGTCTCTCCGGCCGTCTATCGGTCTGTCTATCGGTCTGTCCTGCTGTCCGGCTGTCTATCGGTCTGTCTGTCCGGCCGTCTATCGGTCTGTCTGTCGCTCTGTCCTGTTGTCCGGCTGTCTATCGGTCCGTCTGTCGCTCTGTCCTGCTGTCTGGCTGCCTATCGGTCTGTCTGTCGCTCTGTCCTGCTGTCCGGCTGTCTATCGGTCTGTCTGTCGCTCTGTCCTGCTGTCTGTCTGTCCGGCTGTCTATCGGTCTGTCTGTCGCTCTGTCCTGCTGTCCGGCTGTTTATCGGTCTGTCTGTCGCTCTGTCCGGCTGTCCGGCTGTCTAACGCCTTCTGTCCACTGGGGGGCGTGTCCCGCTGTCCCAACCGGCAGCCGATTGGCTGAGAGAGCTGTCGCTCAGACTGCGGCCACCTCCTCACAGGCGCAGCCTCGCCAGCTTTGATTGGTTCGCTCATTTGTCAATCATCGTCCATCTTCTCCTGTGACTGGCTGGCAGCACTGGCACGACTCGTTTGAACCCGCCCCCTGCCATAGACCGGTCTCTAATCTACCCAGCGACAGCCTCTGATTGGCGGGGAGCGCCGGAGCGATTTTTTGATTGGCCGAAGCCAGAGGGAGCGCGGGGCCCGCCCGACCCATTGACAAAGTGCGGGAGGGGCCGGAGCCGGGCTGGGGACAGCGGAGGGGACAGCGGAGGGGACAGCGCAGGGGACAGCGGTGCGTCCTCCCGGGCCCGGCCCCGGCCAGGGCACAGAGGCTGTCCCTGCGCAGGGGTCACGGTGGGAAGCAGCGGGGTTTGTGCTCCAAGGCACGGGGCGCGGCCCTGCCCGCAGCTCGGGGCTGATGAACCGACACAAAGCTCGGGTGTCCCGGCGCTCATCCCCCTCTGCAGGGCCACCCCAGATCGGCTGTGGGGTCAGGAGTGGCACAGCACCCCCAGAGAGCCAGAGCCAGGCGCACTCCCCACATCCAGGCTCCAGGGAATGTCTTCCCAAAGGAGGAAAGGCCATGGAGCAATAATTGGATTGCAGCTGCAGGGACGGGTGGTGGAGCCAGCAGGGCCTCGGGCAGCCCCTGCTGATCCCTTTTGTTCCCTTTAAAGGGGAGACACTCAGGAATGCCAGGAGGAGGCGCTGGGCTATGCTGAAACCGAGGTTATCCAAGGAGCGATTTTCCAGACCTTGCTTCCCTCCCTGAATCCATCTGGCAATGCCAAGAGACAGGAAAACCAACAGGACAGGCATTCTTCCTTCTGGAAAAGGCAGAGGCTGGAGGTGGGGGGAGATTGGGCTTTGCTAACTGATGAAACACATTTCCTCATTTCCAGCACTATGTGGGGGGAAATTTCCCTATTTCCCAGGATAATTCCTGTCCCACCTCTATCCAGCTCTCCCACACCAGCCACTGCTGCTTGGTGCAGGGTGATACCATAATTTATCCTGTAATTGTAATTTAAAATTGTCATTTATCCTGGCATTTGATTTCCAGGCCTCTGCCCTTCCGAGCACAGCCCAGAGCCACCAGGATTGAAGCAGAGCTGCCTTTCCCCACAACCATGATTTTATAGGAAAATTCTCTTTAATCTTAATTTATTCCCTTATCAGACACATCTTTGATTCCCTGTTTGAGGACACAGAGAGATTTTTTTTCTGGAGAACAAAAATCTAAGTGGGATAAGCAGGAATTTTCTGGTGAAAAATAGGATTAGCTATCAAAACTCAGTGGTACCTGCAGGATTTTAGTGGTGAGGGGCTGTCCCAGCCCGTTATCCCTGTTTCTGCTTGGTGGGCTCTGATCTATCAGTTTTTATGAATTTTTTTTCCAAGCCCTACCAGAAGGAAACACAAATCCCAAAGCTGATGGTAGGTTTCTTTGCAGGGAAGGAAATGAAGCTCCAGGGACTCTTTTACAGATAAAAAACACTGGAGAATGAGGGAGGAGTGCACTGAACCGATTGAAAACTCTCATTTTTTAAAAAGAAGTGTGGAATGACACCTAGATTTCCCCATGGACAGCACCACGAGAGGGAGACTCGCTGCTGCAGCAGAGCTGGCAGTGCCCTTGGCACAGCTGCTGTCCCAATCCACCCCCACTTTTAGCTCCAAATCCTTGCCCTCCCACCTTTCCCCCGTGCTGAGGAGCACATTTAGAGTAACAAAATGATTTATTTCATTCCCTCCTCAGGCAAAGCTCAGCTCTGTCCAGAAACAGTAAAAAACCTCTGGAGCTGGCAGGAGCGGCAGGTTCAGGTGCTGTGGGGAGGGAAGTCCCAGGAGCTGGGTGAACTGGACCAGTTCCTTTGGTTGGGGAAGGGGTTTGAGCTTTTGGGGGTCTCTCCCTCTTCTTTCAAATATCCTTGATGACCTCCTCAAGCTCCTCTTTTGTGTACATGTGGAATTTCATCCCAGGCTCCACCGTGGCAAGCTGGAAGAGAAGGAACAAGGGGTTAAGTGTGGTTGAGGAAAGCAGGGAGCAGCTGTTCCTTCTTCTGATCTGCCAGACCAGCAGGATCATTCCAGCCTGGAACACGCTCCAGGATTCCCTAAAATAGCTGCCTGCTGCACAAATAGCTTTGAATTGACTCAGTCTCCTCAGAGGAGCAGCAGCAGGGAATTTTAGTGGGAACAGGCAGGCGCTGCTCCCACTTGATGGGGGAAAAGCCATCAAAACCTCCCAGGAGAGAATTCCTGCCTCTCCAAAGGATTCTTTTCCCCTAGGAACCAAGTGGATAAATCCTGGCCTGTCTGGGAGCTGAGGGGACTCAGGGTTGGCTCAGGGAAACTGAGGCACAGATCTCTAAGGAAAACAGGGACAGGGACGACACAGTGTCAGGGCAGAGAGCTGAAACATTCCAGAGGCAGCACCAAGGATGAGGGAAACTTGAATGACAAGCCTGGAAGAGAAACGTGAGCAGAAATATTCACACCTGGCTCAGTGATGGGAGCCCAAACCAGGGACAGCTGTGTCAGTGGAAATGCCAAGGCTCCAGAGAGAGTTGGGATGCCCTGGAATGAGCTGGGGTATCCTGTAACAGGCTGGGATGGGACAGGAGAGGGCTGGGATGCTTCTGAACTCAGGCACTGGTTGGATTCGCCAAGGATCAAAATGTTTGGATGCAACCAAAAAGCTGCAGGAATGCTCTGGAGCATCCCAGCAGATCCCAGAGCTCTTCTGAGGTGACTTCTCACAAACCCCCCCTTCACCATCCCAAGGGGAAGGATTTTCCAAGGATCCAGGGGCAGGATTTTCCAAGTGGAAACATCCAAGGCTCAGCCTGAGAGCTCCTGCCAGCACAGGTTTCACCCAGAACTCTCAGACAAGACGGAGATGCCACTTGAGGCCCCTCAAACCATGGAGTGGTTTGGGTTGGAAGGGACATTAAGCTCACCCAGTGCCACCCCCTGCCATGGGCAGGGACACCTCCCACCGTCCCAGGCTGCTCCAAGCCCCATCCAACCTGGCCTTGGACACTTCCAGGGATGGGGCAGCCACAGCTGCTCTGGGCAGGGACCACCTGTGCAGGGACTGGACTGATCCTGGGCCCAGCCAAACTCAACAAGACCCAAATTTATGCACCAAAACCAGCTCTGAATACCTAAAAAACCTTTATACACACCCAAACCAGCAGAGACACCAATTCCTTTGCTTTTCCACTCTGCCCCTCACATTCTCCGTACCAAAGCTTCACAGGGAAATGATTAATCTAAAATCATGGAGTTCTTTCAGGCTCCTGATCTTCACTATCAATGGATTTAACTCTTCCACAACCACACTTCCCCTCTTCTCTTTGTTCCTAGATGGAAAATGCCACAGCAGAGTGGCTGGAGCCAAGAAATGGGAGAGGCACATACTTCTAGGAAGCAAAGAGCTCTTCAGGTGGCAGATTTTCAGCCAGGGGGTGACTTGAGTCAATAGAAACCTTTTAATCCTCAGCACATTCCTGCTCTCCTTCCCCCCAGCACGATTCCACCCCACTCCAGGGCCGTGCCAAGCACAGTTAAGCCCTGTTAAACAGGGACATGACATCAGGATACTGTACACATTCCTCTGCCTGCACTGTACCAGGAAAAAACGTATGGCTAAGGGTTGGAAGAGCACCTGGGAAGGAGATTCCAGCCACACAGCATGAGTTTGGGACAGAGTGTTCAAGTTTTCATGTGCTGTTGGCCTTCCCCTCCAAAGGAGGTTGGTTAATCCCACCAGGAATGGTTCCTGACAGCAACATTTAATACAAAAACGGGGTGAATACCTTGGGGCTGCTTGGGGAAAGGTTTCACTCAGAGGGAAGGAATGGGAGAAGAGAGCAGTGCAAGAGCTGGAATGCCACACTTTGGAAAGGTCTGGTGTCTCATAACCCACCCGAAATAGAAACAAACTCTACACCAGCCCAGCTTCTCATCCCCCAGTTACCCCACCCAGTGCAGAGGGTTTGTACTTTCCCACCCAAAAAAACCCATGGAACAGGTTTGGGGGGCCAGGCATCCCCAGGTCTGGGGGTACTGCCTGCCCCAGGGTTCCAGGGGCACAGCCATTCCCTGCTGCTCCCACTGTCCAAGGGATTTTTGGCGCTGCCCCAGGACTAATATAGCAGCCCAGGAGCTGGGTAATTTTCAATCCCTCTAATATTACAAGCAGCAAGGCAAAAAAGAATGGCTGGATCCAGGGGGAGAACAAGCAGTCTGGGTGGTGTGTTGGCTTCTGCTGACTGGAGAAGGTCAGAGAATCCCTTCTGCTCATACAGGTTAGCCATGAAAACAGAGCAGACTCTGGACCTGTGCAAGGGAAAAGCTTCAACTTTTCCAAAATGCCCCACAGGATATGATGAAAAGGGCAGAAATATCTGCAGCAGGAAGCCCTGAGCTGCTCCATTCCTTGCTCCAGGGGCAATCCTGACTCCAGGAGGACTCACCTCGATGTTGGTGGCATTTAGTTTCTCCTCCATGACCTGTTTCAGGATGACCAGGGAAGATTTGATGGCTTCCTTTAGCGTCATGGACTGGAAAACAAATGGATTATTTGCTGGAGGCTCAGGATGTGGCCCCTCTCCCTCCCCTTTCCCAAATCCCTTGAGCCAGGCAGCCAAAGGAGCAGCTTATCAAGGGATCTGCAGCATCCCTGGGAGACTGGAGCAGGCAGGGCAGGGACAGTGAAATCCTGCCTTGCTGAGATTTAAAAATGGTTAATTTGGGCACATCAATCTGATGGGATTGGGACAGGAGGGGCTGTTTCACATCAAAAATCCAGATTCCCTCTAGGCAGAAGCCTCTGTGCTGCATTTAATCCGATAAATCCCTAGAGCCAGAGGGATGTGCAGCACAGCTGTGTTTCACTAACTGCTCTTGAGAAAGGGCTGACAATCTGGGGAGTCCAGAATTTGGGTAATCTGGAGCATTCTGGTGAACAAATGAGTCCTCACAGCCACCATCACTAATTCTGCTTTTCATTAGGGTTTGGTTTCTTACCACCCAAACCAGGCAACTCCCTCCTCATGGGGAAAAAAAAAATCCTATTTAATATCAAACATGAGCAGAATTTCCAGCACAAAAGCTGCTCCCTTCCCTGGTGAGGTGAAGGTGCTGGTGTGAGCTCAGGATGCTTCCAGCTGTATCCACACGGAGCCTGATGCCCACAGCAGCACTCAGAGCTCAGTTTTTATCTAAAGAGAATTCCTGACATGGCCTTAACTGTCTGAGAGGCAGAGAGCAGCTGCTGGGAGCAGCTCTGCTTGTGGAGATCCTCAGCACCTACTCACAGGATGCACTGCTAAGGAGTGATCCTGCCCTGAGTGGCTCAGGGGCCTCCTCTCCAGCCCTAAATCCTCACTGGGGAGGGAATTAGGGGATCCTGGTAGGTGGTAAAGTACCCCAGACCCATGAGATGTGACCCCCAACCCCAAACCCAGCCCTTACCTTGTGGTAAACCTCTTGCAGGGAGCTCTGGGCTCCCTCTGAGGCGGAGCCGATGGCTCTGGCATCACACTGCACGAACGTTCCCGAGGGATCCATGTGGAACCTGCGGGGACAGGGGGTGACTACCTGCACCCCATCTCACCCTGGGGTACCCCAAAGACCCTCTCACCAGACCCTCAGAGCTCCCTGCACAGCTGGAGCTGGGATTCATCCCCAAGAGCTCCTGGGCTGGCAGCTTTGCACACTCTGACACTGCTCTCCTTCCTCAGAGAATCATTTTCCTTTGGATTTCCCATCTTAATTTTTTTTTTAATAAATTCATCAAGTTTTCCCTGCTGGAAGGCAGACCTGACTGATCTGGCTCTGCCAAGCCTATCCCACTTCCAGTGGGGCCATTTGGAGCCCTGAGTTCAGGTTACAGCTGCTCCAACACCTCCCCATGGAATGTCACATGGATTATGTTACTGGTGGCTCTGCTGGTCCTTTAGGGAAAGGTAAGAATACACTCAAGATGAGGAGAGCTTTAACGCTTCCCTCCTCCCCAGGAAACCACATTTTTAATAAAAAAAGCAAATTTTTGGGGAAGATATGATTTTTTTTTTCCATGCCAAACAGGGAGGCAGGGGCTCTGGAAAGGGTTTAACAGGATTAACAAACATATCAGGGATATAATGGGATAAACCCCAAGGGTTTGGCTTAAGGAAAATCCCAGAATCGAGTCGTTAAAACAGCCTGGGAATTTTGCAGTGGCAGTTTGGTCTTTTCCCTGGATTAAGAGAGCAGAACTCACAGCTGGGGTCCCTTCTCATCCACTCCTCCAAAGAGCAGAGCGACGCCGAACGGGCGGGACTGCGGGAGAAAGGAGGAAAGGGTCAGACAAGGGCAAGGAAAAGGGGGGGTTCCCCAGCACCCCCTGATCCCCCTCGGATCCCACCATGGCTCCTGGATCAGCATCTTCCTCCCCAAACTGCAGGGCCAGGTTAGACACAGCCTGTGTCACACTCTCCACCGTCATCGTCTCGTTGTAGGTGAACCAGTGATTCTGCAGGAAAAGCCAAAGACAGGTTCCCATTATCCCCATGTTCCCAAAATATGATGCTCCTGCATGGCTGAGGTGCAGTGAGACCCTGTGTGGACACAAGGATAACCTCCCTAGGGAACCCAGGGCACAGCCAGTTCTCCCATGGGAGCATCAGGGAGAGTGGGATGTGCAAAAATCCACAAGAAAAAGGCTTGGGATGCCAGTTGGGAAATGCAAGGCTGAAGGGCTTTATCCCAAAATCTGGATTGGAACTCATGTGTTACCCAGCTCTCCAGAGGGTGGAAAAGTGCTGATATGCAGGAGAAAACCCCAGGAAAACCCTTTGCAGCAGCACAGATTTGTACCTGAGACCTCCAAGCACCTGAGGCATCCAGGAAATTTAAGGGGTTAAAAGGAAAACCAATACATCCAATATTTTGCCAAAGCAGTCAGATAACCCCTACACTCCCAACGAGCCTCCAGCTTCCCACCAGCTTCTTTGATGGACTGATCTTCCCTTTCCCAAGGAGTTCCTGGGATTTGTGCTGCTAATTTAAGGACAGAGGTGTCAGATCTTACCTGAGTCTCCACTCTGGCCTTGTCAATTAAAGTCTTTGCATCGGCTATCAATCCACTCATGGCACACCCTGGAATGGGGAAGGGGAAACAGGAGTCATTCCAGCCATTATTTGGGATGTGTTTTCCCCCAGACTGCCCAAAGCTCACATAAATCACAAAGAGCTGCAGGGAGAAGCTGGTTCCTGAGTGGGAAGGTGGGGAAGAGATTTGTCTCGCTGTGCTGGGCACTGCTGAGGCCACACCTGGAATTCCAGGAATAGCTTTGGGTTTCTCTCAAGAAGGACAATGAGGGGCTGGAGCGTGTCCAGAGAAGGGAATGGGGCTGGAGAAGGGTCTGGAGCCCCAGAAGCAGCTGAGGGAGCTGGGAAGGGGCTCAGCCTGGAGCAAAGGAGGCTCAGGGGGCCCTTCTGGCTCTGCACAAGTCCCTGCCAGAGTGGGGGGCAGTTGGGCTCTGCTGCCAGGGAACAGGGACAGGAGGAGAGTAAATGGCATCCAGCTGTGCCAGGGGAGGTTCAGGTCAGCTATCAGGTAAATTTTTTCATGGAAAATGTGGTCAGGCCCTGGCACAGGCTGCCCCTGTGAACAGTGGTGGAGTCTCCACCCCTGGAAAGGTTCAAAAAGCGTGGATGTGGCACTTCAGGACATGGATTAGCAGTGGCCTTGGTATAGTTGGACTTGATGATCTTAGAGGGCTTTTCCAACTCAGGAATTCCATGGGATTGAAATAGATTTGCTCCAGAACAATCTGCTGGGAAGGGGCCCTGCCTGCCCCACAGCCAGCAGATGCAGCAGGAGCCCCCAGCACAGATTCTGCTCTGGGAAGAGGGAGCTGCATCACAAGCTCCTGGAGGAGGAAATTGGACTCTTGGAGCTTCCCATGCCCATGGAGCTGCAGCACAGGAATTTTAGAGGTTTTTTTGCTTTTCAGGGTGACATACTTGGCCATGAGCCCATTGTGGCCCACATTGAGAGCGTGGGTGGCTCCAGGGTGGCATCAGTGATCCTGGAGAAACTGGTCCCAGTCAAGCCCACCATAATTCCCTGCCCTCCCAGAGCTAAATTTGGGATGAGCTTTCATGAGGGAGGTCACTGAGGCAGGGGGCAGTGCCTCAGCTGCCTCTTTGTGCTTCCTGGAGCTGCATTCTGCTGGCTTGGAGCCTGAAAAACCAGTGACCAGGAGCTGGTGTGCACTGGGAGGGAAGAGCACTCCTGCTCCAGGTGGAACTGCCTGCAGGGAGGGCTCATCCCAAAACACAACTTCCCAAATGACTCTTATAAATATTTCACAGTTTTAGGGTGCTCCCAGATCTGATCCAGAGGGACCCCCAGGGCTGAATTCCTCCTCCATACCAATGTGAGAGTCGATCTCCACAATCTTCTCAATGCTGCTGGGCTCCATGAGGGGAGATGTGATCCTCTTTTCCACAGCCAGGCAAACTCCCTCTGAGGTCTGGATCCCGATGGCCGTGGAGCCAAGCTGCAAAACACCAACACAGGCTCCAGCTCTCACAAATATCAATGCCAATTCTGACTTATTTGCAGGTGTGTTGGTTTGGATTCAATTCCATCATCCACACACAAACCCTGGGTTTGCACGGTGGATTTTAAAGGTAATTTTATTTTCCCTGAAGTGGGAAATGGGGAAGGTGAAATCCATGTGATTCCCATGAGAACCCAGTGGGGCTGCTGCACATCCTTCATCTTTCAAGCAACAGAAGTTTGTGGAGCCTGGTGAATGTAAAAGGCCCTGGGAATTCCCTGGCAGAGGGAAAAAAGAGTTTAAAGGATGAGAGAATTTCCCACATCAGCACAAATCCCACTGCAGCTCTGGCTTGGGCACTTGGCTTTCCATAAGCTCCTGTTGTCCCCAGAGTCCCAGGCAGCAAGCTCCAGCCCAGGACTGCAGGACACCTCAGTGTCACCAGGGCCACAAGCACAGGGACAGACCTCAGGGGCTCCTGGCAGCCCTTGTCTGGATCTGTCTTGGTCCCACTGGGATCCCACCTTGATCCCATCAGGTCCTGCCTGGATCCCACCTCAGCTGCACCTTGATTCTACCTGGATCCCACAAATCCATGCCACGATCCCAACAGCCCCTACTTTGATCCTACCAATGCTTTTCTGGATCTTACCAGCCTCTAACCTCGATCCCACCAGCCCCCACATTGGTCTTACCTTAACCCCACCAACTCCTCAACTCAATTCCAACCTTGATCCCACCAACAATTACCTTCATCTCACCTGGATCCCACCAGCCCCTGCCTGGGTCCCACCAGCCCCTGCCTGGGTCCCACCTGGATCCCAGCACTCGCAGCTTTTCCACCCCAGGGGATTTCCTGGCAGAACTGGCACAGCTATAGTGTGGAATGCTCACTGCCAACATCCACTTCAAACACGGGGTTTAATTTTAACCCCAAGATTTCCTGCAGAGCTGCACCTACAGCCACAGGTATAGCAGGAGATCTCCCTGCTCCAAGAGGTCTGTTTTAATTTATCAAGTCAGCATGGTCACCAACATCCTCCTGAAGCTTTAATTCCCAAGTCCTTGATAATATTATTACATTTTCTGTTACATTATTACTTTATTCATCTTTTTAGTGCTCCAAGGAGCTAAAGTAACCCAGGAAAGATGAAGTCAGGACCCTTCTCCTCAATCCAAACACCTCAGAGCTTTTTCCCTTCATCCAAATTTAAACTTATTATCAATCAACACCCACAGTCCATCAATATCCATATCAATATAATAAACAGGAATATTTATCAGTGGAGGACGTTTATCGCTTAAGGATATTTTGGACCTGCAAAGGTGGGTTTGCTCATAACCTCCCCATTTAAATCCACCCAAGAAGTGTTTTAGGTTTGATTTGGGGATGAACAGCTTTGGATTGCATTTTGGTTGGGGATAAATCACTTGGTAGGGCAGGGGAGGGAACATTCTGCTGAACTTCAGGGAAAATCGCTGGGTTTTGGTTCTTAATGACCAAAAGAGCAGAGCTGTGGGGTGTTTGGCTGGAGGAAACAGACATAGCCTGGATTAGTCCTGAGCAATTCACACCTGAGGTTTGAAGGAGCCCCAGATGTCACAGCTTGGAAACTTTTAAAAAGTACCTTTATGGCCTCGATGGCATATTCCACCTGGAAGAGCCTCCCCTCCGGAGAGAACGTGTTCACACCCCTGCAAGGACAACACAGGCAGAGTGAGAAGGGCAGGAAACCAACGGGATGAGAGCCTTTGCTCAAGGGTGAAGCCACCTGGGCACAGGTGGGGCAGCAGGGACATGTCCCCCTCAGCACAGGCCACCCACAGGGTCTGGGTTCAGGATGTTCATGGACAGGAACACCAGGAAAGCCAAGGGGAGAAGCAGGTGGGATGTCCCAGCACAGTGTGGGTGCTGGAAACCTTCAGAATCCACAGGGTGCACCAGGAGCCAGAACGGTCTTGTTTTGCCATGGAATCATGGAGTCCTGGAGGCTGGAAAAGTCCTTTGAGGTCATGGAGTCCAAGTTTTCCCCCAGCACTGCCAAGGCCACTGCTAAGCCCCCTTCCCAAGTGCCACATCCACGTGTTTCCTGAGCCCTTCCAGCGATGAGGACTCCACCACTGCCTTAGGAAGCCCGTGTGCCTTAGATTTCCATGAAAAAATTCCCAATATCCAAAACTAAACATCCATGGGCAAACTTGAGGCCGTTCCCTCTCCTCCTGTCCCTGTTCCCTGGCAGCAGAGCCCGACCCCCCCGGCTGTCCCCTCCTGGCAGGGACTTGTGCAGAGCCACAAGGGCCCCCTGAGCCTCCTTTGCTCCAGGCTGAGCCCCTTCCCAGCTCCCTCAGCTGCTCCTGGGGCTCCAGACCCTTCCCCAGCCCCGTTCCCTTCTCTGGACACGCTCCTTTCCCTGGATATCCCATCCCATCCCACCCCATCCCACCCCACACACCAACCAAGGGCTCACGAGCTTCCCCCGCCCTCGGCCCGTCCCATCCTGGCAGCCCCCGGCCC